CTTAATGGACTGAAATGTTTTATCTCATTTTTACCTTCTTTCCTCATTCCTTCCTGCCTTCTGTATCCAACACGCCTTCGATACTTTGGCATCCAAGGTCAACCTGGATACTACAGTTGGCTTATCAGATTCGAAAAGGACCGGGCTTATGGCTCCAGAATTTCATTCTCCTCATATTTCTGGTCGTAAAGTTGAAAGATACACATGCACACAGACATGCTCTAGCGCTCATTTTTGTATATTTACGTGTCAAAAGTCAAAACCCTCTCCGTAATTCGCTGTCGATAAGAAACGGAAGCACTGGAGAAGTAGCTCGAATATAGCAAATGCCAACATCAAACACAACTGATAAAGCTGCGAATGGCTGAGAGTTGCTTGCAAACAAGCTAATGACCGGTCTAATTTCCTCGCACATGCCAATACCAGATTATCACCGAAATGAACCCGGAGATATTGACTGCCTCACACATACAGTCGACCTTCGACACAGGCGAATCCAGGACCGTCTTCTGGGAGACGGGTGGAGGGGGGAACGGTATATGGCTTTTACCAGCAACCAGCGGGGAGGGGGAGGGAAGTACATTTGCCGGTGGGAAGATGACTGGAAGGAAGGGGGGAAAATGAAGGGGGAAGAAGTGGGCCTACTAATGCGGCGACGACCCGAAGGGGGAAGAGGAGGGGAGTAAGGCTCCTGGTGAGGAGAAGGGGGAGGAAGGGGGCCGTATGAAAGGAGAGGGGGTAATAGGCCCTTTTGGATCCGTCTATAACCCCCCCCCCCTCTCGATCTACTGCACGACAACAGCGCTACCCCCCAGCGACATGCCTGCAGGCATATATATGTGCATTCTTTAATGAACCAGAAAAGCACAAAAAATGTGGTTGGTGAAGATCGGGGTGCGCTTGGCTTGTTCCTGCTCGCACGGAAAGAATTTGATGAAAACAAAAAAAAAAAAACCTGGCATTTTTTGAGAGCGATCAGCAGATGAGCGCAGTAATCGCGATCGCCGAGTTCGAGCTTCCACCGATCCATCTCTTCCCAGCTTGCCTTCATCTCACGCGGCTTTCGACCCTTCGGAAAACCGTAGAGCGGATCGAACGTCGGCGGCCGATCGGTGCGTGGCAGCACCTCCTTGTCCTCGAACGATACCGACAATCGCGTGCCCATCCACAACAACAATCACTGCAACCCAACACAACTATTATGCCCGAACTG